ATTGTAATAAAATATCTTTAACATTACAGTTCTGATTTGTTAAAGTATTAATTGCTTAACTGATACACTACCTATTAACAAGTTCTCATATCACTGTTAATAGTTAAATTGCCTCTTTTGTAATTGACCTTATCCCAAATCCTCTTAGTCTAATTAATTATTAGCTTAAGCTATATTTGTATGATTTCTAAAGTAATAAATTAGTTTATTAGTTTAAGTTTATGCCACCATCATTCTTTTACAAAGTTAAAGGTTTAGAAGGATAACACTATTTAAAATTTAATAATATTTATAATTATTAACAATTTTAGAATGATACTTGTAGATTTTTAATTCCTTCCTTGAAAAACCATTTTACTGATCATCCAAACTTGAAAAAAGTCATTATTTGTTTTCTTTAAAAATGCTTCAGCTGATTTTATAATTATAGAGAATTGGATAAATATTAAGTTCCATAAGTGAAATTTTCATTTTATATAGTAAATTGATGCAATTATTGAGTTATATGCAATTAAAAATTGAAAAAATTGGAATTGAGTCGAAGGTTTTTCACTTTTGACAACTTGTATATCTATAACATAATAATATTAAGAACAATAATGATAATAATAAAAATAAAAATTGAAACTTAAACAAAGAGTTTTTTTTTGTTACAATAATATAGTTAGCAAATTTCTAAATAGTGCAATCTAGTTTGGTACAAACTAAACAGGTTATATAAAATAGTTTGTCTGACAGGACCTTAATATGCTGAGGGCCAATTTATTTGTCAGGCAGGCATGTCTCAACAATCATTAGGATAAGTTATATATTTTGCATTATGCAAAATAATGTAAGAGGCTTTTTCTTTTTCTAATTAATAAACTTGAGGCCTCACTGAAAAAAAAAAATTTTCTTTATCTTTTCAAAAGAAAGAGATTTCTAGTAAGAGAAATAAACTAAAAAGAATACATCATTCACACCATTGTATTTATTATACTGTTAAACAATCAAGTGCTGAAAATTTTGTTTTTCAAAAGAATGTTGAAGAATACAAATTGTATGATGTCAATAAATAACTTTATTTAATTATTATTTTAAATAATCTTTTGGTAAAAATAATTAATTTAATGGGTTGGCCCGGAAGTGTTGTTTATCAAGTATTTGAAAATGTGAAAGTAATGAATGTGTGGTGAACATTGTTGTGAAGATATTTCAAAGCCTTAAAGTTCATCTATTCTTCGCATTTTTCAGGTAAAGTAGGATTTTGTGCAATTCCCCATTTAACAATATAATATCAAACTTCCGATACTTTCAATCTCTTTTCAAAATAGATACTAAAGCTGCTTCTTGGAGAGAATCATATTTTTCTAAATCTTTAAAACTATTATTATTTTTATTATCTTTTAAAAAATCGAATGGTAAACAAAGGAAAACGAATTCTTAACCAAGAAGCTTAATTTTATAGATAATTTTTCTAACTCAAATTCATTAGCAGTAATAATCAATTCAAACATAGTTCTAGTTCTAATATCTATATTTTCCGTATCAATAATATCTGTATAAAATTTATTAAAATTAATTATATTGTATATTATATTTTATATTATACAAGAATACTTAATAATGTTATTTCTTACTTGAGAATAATTCAAAATTCGCAATATAAGATAACCGAGTGTGAGCAGTGAAAGTTTTTTTATTTGGTTCTTGATCAACTTCAATCATAGAAGTTCAAAAAAGTCTTGAGATAACTTGTCTAAAAATTTTAATGTCATTTTTTTTTTTTAAATTTTGTAATATATTCGTTATACAATTCAGTTAAGATCACTTGTATTTTGGTCATGACTTCTTTAACGATTTCGAATTTTTTAATGAAAATATTCATAATAAATTATTTCCTTTTAATTTCTATAGATTTTATACAAAATAATATTCAATACAAATATTAACATGAATTTGATAAGTTCGTGTATTTCTATTTATAAATATGATAAATTAGATTAAGCAAAATAAATTCAAAATAAAATTTTAGTTAATAGTTTTAATAACAAGAAATACTTCATAATCTATAATAGAAAATCCAGCATCGGTTGTTCTAATAGATTTTTCATAATAAGTAGGCTTTCGACATTGGCTTTCCTTATCTTGAGTAAAATTTAAAACTTCTGATTTCATTCTGAATTCACCATTTCCAAAATATGGTCCATATACATCTTTATCTATACTATACCATAAAGAACCACTATCATCTTTAACTCTACTAAGAATTGAATTTTGGATACTACCATCTTTGAATGAAAATATAAAACTTTTATTGGTTTTCATATAACAAAATTCTTTTGTTTTATCCCAAGCTAAAGGATTAAATCCTCCTAGAATTTCGTCTGTTCCTTTAACTTTACAAACTATAATTGTATTATCATAACCATCGCAAATATTCCAAAAAGTTCTTGGAGCAAATCCATCTTTACTTCCTCGAAGAATTAATTCAAACTCGTATGGATTATTTGTTGATGAATAATTTATAGTTTGATGACCAATCCATGATGAAATTATTGCTGCATGCTCTTTATTGATTATAGTCGAAAATAATTCATTTACTCTTCGTGGTAATACTCTTGCTGGTGGTTCTTGAGTTAGATTTATTGGTAGTTCTTTAGTTAAGTTTATTGTTGGTTTTTTAGTTAAATTTACTGGCGGTTCTTGGGGTTTATTTACTGTTGATTCTTGGGTTGGTTCTTGGAGTTTTTGAGTTGGCTCTTGAGTTAAATTCATTGTTGGTTCGAGAGCTAAATTCACTCTTGGTGGTAATATAACTGATTTAATTGGTTGATCTGGAAGTAGAAGGTATTGTGTCAAATCATTCCATAGTTGTTTATCAAGAATTTTCTTATATGGTTTGATTTTATTTATGACATCTAAACTTGAAATATGAAAATAACGAATATGTGGTAAAAATTGGTTTAAAGATGTTTTTAAAGTCATAAAATTCTCTTTGGACCATTCTTCTAATTTTTCAGGTAAAGTAGGATTTTGTGCAATTCCCCACTTAATAGTATAATCCCAAATTTCTGATTCTTTCATTTGTAAATCATCTCTTTTCAAAATAGATAATAACGCTGTTTCTTGGAGAGAAGTAAATTCAGCAGATTCAAAAATTAAATTTGGATATCTTGTAATAATATCATTACAAAATTTTTCTAAATCTTTAAAATTATTATTATTTTTTTGAAAAATCGAATGATAAATAAAGGAAAAATGAATTCTTAACCAAGAAGATTTGGATTCAATAAGATGACTTTCTAATTTCGCAGATAATTCTCCAAACCCAAACTCATTGGTAGCGACCATCAGTTCAAATATAGTTTTGATATCTATGTTTTCCGTATCAATAATTCCACCATAGATATACCTGTATAAAATTAATTAAAATTAATTATATACAAAAATATATATATTTATTAAATATAAAAATAATATTAATAATATTATTCCTTACTTGAGAATAATTTCAAAAATTTGAGCAGAAATATTTGGTTTCGTAATAGTTTTAATATTATTATTATCATCATTGGTAATAATGGTATTCGATAATTCTTTATTAAAGTAGGATGATCGATAACGCAAGATAGCTGAGTGAGCAGTGAAAGTTTTTTTATTTGGTTCTTGATCAACTTCAATCATAACATTATGTTCTTCTTTATCATTAAGAAGTTCGGAAAAGTCTTGAGATAATTTGTCCAAAAATTTAAATGTCATTTTTTTGTGGAATACCAACCTTCAGATGATTGAGAAAAAATTTAATTAAATGCGAATTCTGTTTGTATCCGTTGCACAATTGTGTAAAAATATTTCACAATTAGTGGTTAATTTTACTTAAAAGTTTGTCTCACAAATTTTCCTTGATATGAAATTTCATACAAAGAAATATGGAATAATACATATTTATAAATATAATTGTCCGGAGCATATAAATAGCAAAAATTTGTCCTCCTGCCCACTCACGTGATAACATGTAAATTATAAATTTATTGAACAATAAATAACGGGGGAGCAAAAGTTTCATTTTTGATAGACTTATGGTTATTTTTTTGTTAGGCCTTTAATTATTTATTTATAAATGTTTCAAAAGATAACTATTTTGTCATATGAAATTTTATATATCAAAAAATAACCATAGATCTATCAAAACGAAATCTTTGCAACGGGGACCCTTATCTTTTCCCCGTATAAGCTGTGCGTCACGTGACAAGTTTTATGTGGTGACAAGGTTAGGTTACAAATATGGTCATCGTCAGTATTGTAAATTTTACACGTTCAAGGGTTTTTTAACTATAAATATATATATGCAAAATCAATTATGAACATAGCTCTTTGTCCAAGCACTTCCATGTACAGAGGTTAGGATTAGGGGAGTGTATTTATCACCGTGTGTAACACCTTTCGAATTTTTTCATACCGTGGACATAGGATAAGAATCTGTACCTTACGCACAGGTTAGCAAAAGTTTCTTTTTGATAGATTTATGGTTATTTTTTGATATATCAAGATACGCGATGAAACTAAATATGTATTATCATGTGATTAATAGAATAACAAATCATGTGAACATCGAATAAAATAACTATGGTATATCAAAAATCTATCAAAAACGTATCCATACACAAATAAACTTTGTGATATAATTTTAATAGAATAGTTTACTATGTTATAATAATATTGTAAACTATTAAACTATTATATACTTTATCGCAAGCTTTATTTTATTTTTTTTTTAACGACCTTTTTTTTATTTATTCATAAAAAATGATCCTTACATTTCATCATTTTCTTTATATTATGGAAATTTCTTCATCTTTAGAATCAATACAAGAAAATGAAGAAGAATTCTGGGCGACTACCTTCAGACCAAGGTATATATTTATTTATTTATTTTTTAATAAATTTCCTTCTGAGTAAATTTTAATTATAAAAATTATAATTAATGTAGAGATTGGGTAATCCAAAGAATCGAATCAATGATTGAAAAAATAATTTCCGATATAGCAATAGGAATTCCTCCAGTAATTAATTCAGTATCAAATACTAGAAGAAAGAAAGAAAGTCATTCTGGGTAAATCTTTCCTTGTTTAATACAATCTAGTCTAGTATTTATAAAATATATATTATTTGGTTTAGATATGACGTGCGTAACGGCATTATCCGCCGGAAAAATAATAATCGTGATATTAAAAAAATATCATTCTTGGGATCAAAAAGTACAAGAAAGTTCGTTATATTCGTAAGAATACTTGATATATGTCATGAACTGCTTATTCAAGGTGTCACTGCTACCAAGCGGTATGTATACTGAATTGCGTTGAGTGTATTCATGTTGTATGTTGCACGTCAATTTTATGTCAATCTATTTACGCTTGCTTTTTTAATTTTTAGTGATATTTATTATAAAGATGTTCAATTATTTGGAAGTCAACACACGGTGGATCAGGTAAATATATCTTCGAAATTCAAAAATCATCATAGAAATAAAATAAAATAAAATATTATATTTGACATTTTTTTCAAGGCAGTAGAAGAATTGGCATGTCTGTTTCGTGTTCCAAGAGCTTGTTTAAATGTGGTACGAATAAAAAGCGAATAAAAAAAAAAAAAACGAATAAAATATAATTTTGTTCTGTTAAATTAAAATAAACATTTTTAATAAAGACTGTATCGGCAAAAGGATTAGTCGCCGGTAATTTAAAAATATATCAAAAAGATAAATCGTTATTGGATTGCAAAGCAAATAGTAGTATGGTAAAAAGAATAAATAAATACATTTATTTATTCAACAATTTTTCATAATTTTTCACAAATTTATTCACATAATTTTTATCTTCAGGGAACTCTTATTCCAACCATGGATTTAATAGAAAATATCCTTTTTTTTTCAATTTTTTTATATAAAATTATATAAACAGTGAAAATTCCTTGATGGTAAATTAAAAATACGAATAGAAACCAATGCGAAATTTATATTAGTGGTTGAAAAAGAGGTGTCGTATATTTGTATAAAAATTTACATTTATAGAGAATAAAGTTAATAAAATTAATAAAATTAATAAAATTAATAATAAAATAATTACTTCAACTTCACCACGCCACATCATAACTCAGGCTACATTTCAATATTTGCTTTCTAGTGGAATTTTCGAACGTTTTGGACCTTGTGTTCTAATCACTGTAAGTTAAATTTAGTTCATGCGACCTAAACGTTATTCTCTCTCTTTAACACATGTAATTGTTGAATAATTGTTGAATAATTGTTGTTATTGTATTATTAATTAATAATAATTAATAACTATATGGTGGTGAAAGGGTAAAGGATATCCAGTAAGTAAAATTCGAAATTTATTAATTTATCAATTTATTTAATTTTATGCATGCATGAAATTTGTTGTATATTTTGTAGGATATCGCTACTCGTCAATTAGTAAAACAATTGAGTGAATATCGAAAACAACGTGAATCTAAAGAATGTGAATCTAAAGAATATGAAAATTCAAGAATAGGAATACCTATTCTTGGATTTTTTGATAATGATCCATATGGTAAATAAATATTTTAATGATTTTATATTTATATTATTTTATTTTATTTTTATATTCATTTTTTTATTATTATTTATTTAAATAGGAATTGAAATTCTAAGTATATACAAATATGGGTCTCAGGTAATAATAATAATAATAATAATAATAAATTGGTAATTATGATTATGAAAATTTCCTCATTAAATTCTGAACACAATTCTTTGGGATTTTAGGCAATGTCATTTGATAATGGAAATTTGACAACAACTTATATTAAATGGATAGGATTACATTGTATTGATTGGAAAAGGTAAAAAATAAATTCTTAAATTTATTTATTTATTTATTAAAATTTTAAAATTATTTTATTTATTTAGATACAATATCTCAAGGGATTCATTGATCCCTCTTTCAACAGCAGATAGAAAGAAAGCTTATCGATTATTGCAACGCGATTATTTCCATAAGGAATGGATGTACGCATTTACTATTTTTAAAATAATATTAATATTTTTATTTTATTTTTATTTTATTTTATTTATATTTTTATTTTTATTTAATATTTTTATTTTATTTAATATTTTTATTTTATTTTTATTAATTATGTTATAATTATAACAGAGACGAAATTTGTCGAACGCTTTATATGGGTAAAAAAGCTGAAATGCAAAGTTTATGTTATAGAGGGAATATGGATCTATTAAATTATTTAACGTCAAAGATAATGAATCCTCATACTTGGCTATGAGAAACATTAAAAAGATTACTATAATAATTAATTAATTTTACTAAATAATTTTATACATATTTTAGAAATATTATTATACATATAAAGTTAATTTAATACATTAAAATTAATTTAATATATTAAAATTAATTTAATATATTAAAATTTAATTTGACTGAAAGTTAATTTAATATAATAAAAGTTAAATTAAATCACTAACAATTAATTTTAATATATAATAATAATAATAATAATAATAATAATAATAATAATAATAAAAGTTAATTTAATTAATTTAATTAAGTTAAATAATGTAAAATAGCCCACATAGAGAATAAAGTAATAATTGCTCCACCTATAAAAATCCATTTATCTTGAAATGATATACGTTCTATATATTGAATTACATTATGAGATAATCCCAAAGTATTAGCCGCATCAAGTAATTTTCGTTGAGCATTCTAGAAATATCATAACAATTAAAAATAATAAAATAACCAAATTAAAAATAACAAATTAAAAAAAAAATAATAAATTAATCAATTAATTAAAGACTATAAAAATTAAATGAAAAATAAATAAATTAAAGATTATAATTATAACAATTAAATGAATTAAATAAATTAAATATAATATAATATAATATAGTAATTAAGTCATTATTTACTTACTTTTAAGGTATCATTTTGATCATACATATTATTAAGTACTTCTCTTCCTTGTGCTATAAATTCATCAAGTTTTGTATCAGTTTCATTAACAAAATCATTCTCATAATAAAGATTTTGTTCACGCGTTAGATGATCATGTTGAAATGGATGTTCTGGTTGCTAATATAATAATAATAATAATAATAATAATAATAATAATAATAATAATAATAATAATAATAATAATAATAATAATAA